ATATTGTGAAAACTTTTCAAAATTTGGTGGGACTAAAATTTTTTACACCACTGTATTTTTGTTAATATCATATGTAAATTATTTATTATTTATTTGTTAACTAACTTATTTATTATTTATTTATAAAAAGTTTGGTTTGGTTTATGAATATAAAGATTAATTGCACTTAAAAATCAAATAAACGGAAAATGCATAATTTTTTTTTGTAAATAAGAACATATGTATCTATGTGTGAGAAATTTTACGAAATTTCTGGCAAAATGGCGAATTACATTATTGAAATCGTGGAATTCTCAAAAATGAGCTGGCTACCCTGATTTGGATATTCAGTAGGAGTCACAATAAGTCACCAAAAATGTGTGGTGAAAACAAACAAAACCAGTCAACTGATAGCGTTTATGTATGCCTTTAGCTCAGGCTGTTCTAAAAGTCGAAATGGCCAAGTGATCGAAGCTTTAGACTACCGCTCGAGACATCCGGAATTTTATTTTTTTATTTTTTATTTATTTTTTATTTGGTTTTTTTCTTTTTCTTCTTGTTTAGTTTTATTTTTTTTACAATAATCTTTAGATTTTCATATTTTAAAAACAAAAGTTTCAGTGAATTTTTATGATATTAAAGTATTTTGGTTAATTTTCTAATAAGATTGTTGTTGAAAAAATACCTGTGTCCTCGCTAAATTCTCGCGTTTTTTGTTTTTAATAAAATGCAAAGCAATTCTATTTTCCTCCATATTTTTCTTTTTGTGACCTGCTCAGAGCTAGCTGACAAATTAGTGACTTTTCTTGAGACTAGAGACGTGAGACAGCTTACTGAATACCAAATTGTCTCAAAATTCATGTTCACCACCAAAAGTCACTATTTGTGACTAGCGACTGCTTACTGAATGCCAGGGTAAAATCTCCTCGTTAGCAGATCTTTCAATAAGTATTTCGAAAGATAGTAAAGAGCGTTCAAAATAGTTGCCAGTGGTGAGCTGAAAGACCGCTGCCAATCATGATAGTTAGAAGTCATGAAAGCAAGTCTGAACGCACTTGGAGTAATTTGATCGAAACTAAGTCATTTATGCTGTAATTTGAACACAATTTTAAACGCAGCTGAAAATTCGTTAACATTCTACGAAAAATCCCGAAAAGCAAGGAGAAAAGCAATTTAACAAATATTAAAAATTTTCGAAAAATCTCTAAAAAAATTCCCGACAAGGGAACGTTCTTGACATTAAATTTTGCTCTCATGTATAACTACATAAATCAAAACTGCAACGCGTTCACGGCCTCTGAAAATTATACACATGTAATACATTTTTTATATAATTTAAAAAAATTCATGAAATATCAACCGAATGGCACACCTTCATAAAAGCTTTTAAATCCTAAGTCTAAGTGTATGTGCAAAAAAATTTCCGGTAAAATCAATTCAAATCAATGACACTATTCACTAAATTCCGTACCTCAATTTAATCGCTTGGAAAATTCTCATTATGTCGAGGCCACGCACTGAGCGGCATTTCTGGACGGCTGAGCGGCATTTTTGTATGGCGTCGCTCAGCCGCTCGCCGCTTTGCCGCTCATTGCGTGACCTCGACCTTAGGCTACTATTATAATGGCTGCGAATTCGTATGACTTTTTTTTTGCGAAATCGTGGTACAGGTTGGTTACTTTGCTTGCAAGTAATTATAACGAAAACGGTCGTTATTCTTATTGGCCAACCAGTACCACGTTTGGGCAACAAAGAATTTCATACGAATTCGTACTATTGAGTTTTTGTACGAATTCGCATCCAATGTAACAGCAGCCTTAACAGCACATCGCAGCATTAACGAAAGGTAATGAGAAACGTAAAAAAATCGCACCCCTTTCTCGTTGACTGCACTTCATCATAGTATACTTGCAGGCGCATTTGCTGGCGCTTCCCACCCCAAAAACTTAATTCAATGACAACAAATGTTTTGTATACACAAAACGATTTAAAGTGTTTTAACGCTATTTATAAAATTTACTGCTGCACCAATTTGTTCTACCAGCAACCACGACAAAACACCAAATTGCCAGTAAATTAAATTCTCATCGGTCGAAATGGTAAGCTATCGACAATGGCAATGGATAAGCACAAAACCATGTACGGACATACATACATACATACACACATAAGAATCTAGCATAGCGGACGGCGCGTGCAGGATATATGTATGTAATTGGTTGTGCAGCAGCGGCGGCAACAACAGNAAGCACAAAACCATGTACGGACATACATACATACATACACACATAAGAATGTAGCATAGCGGACGGCGCGTGCAGGATATATGTAATTGGTTGTGCAGCAGCGGCGGCAACAACAATAAGTCGCTACTTGGCGGTATTCTTATGCAAATTACTCAAATAATCAAACACACACACACATACTAGAGATCACTACTACTCCCTTCAATAAAAGCCATGTAAATCGCCACAGTGACGACAACAATCCTTGATTCATTTTCATTTCAATGTGCAGTTCAACTCAGCACTCACACTCTCATTTGTAGGTACTATTACACACTCATGCACATCAATATGCTTGATTATTACAATTGTTGCAATTTTAATTTGCATAATCAGCAACATAATTGGCTGTCGTTGCTGCTGTTGCTACCATTTCATTCCATTCCATTGCCGGTGTACTCAATGCATCACATCCTTTTTCACTCATACATATTTAATTGCTGCTAATTGGCCTATTAATGTGAAAATTATGTTGCAAAAATAATAAACAAAAGTCATTTCGCAATTAAACATCAATATTTATCCAGTCAATTTGCACTCAACATTATTATAACCAATTAAATTGGAATTAATATAATAAGAGATTATTTACCTATGCACTCAAATGTGCAAATGGAATGGAATGGCATGTATATTACCAGCACTTCTAAATGAATGTTAAAAACACAGTTTTCCTATTCCAAATAATTATAAAGTTTGTTCTCTTTTATGACCTTTCGAAATCAGGGACCGAAATTAACTATTAAATATAAGGATTTATTATTTGTTCGAAAAAGAATAACACAGTTTCTGAACCAAACATCTATATCCCTATTTTATTCAGCGCCCTGAATGAGAATCCGAGGTTTGTTAATTTCCATCCATCGAGTTCATTTGGTGGTCAAATAACGAAATATTCATTGCATAAACCTGAAAATTCATATACGTATGTACATATATGGGGTTTTTCCTCGCTACACCCGAATAAGAGGTCCATTAACCTCCATAGTGTGTCATTTGAGGGTCAGATAGGGAAAACTTCATCGAATAAATATAAAAATTCATATACATACATAGGTTTTTGTTTTCGATGAATCCGAACATCGGGATCGCTTGATTCTTCAAGGTCATCTAGAGGTCATACCAAGGTCATTTCAAGATTCCTGGGTGAATATTATTATACAGATCATAACCGTTGCGGTACCTGTTGAAAACATCTTAACTCAACACTTGTCTTTCGTGTGCCGAACCATGTTGAAACAACATACATATGTATATGACATTTTTCATACAAAAACATAGAAATTATAAAAAAAAAACGTTTACAGAAATGTAGCACTTAGAATATCAGCTTGGAGTTGAGAGTAACTTTTCAGCGTGTTTTTCTGTTTATAATGAGTCAAGTTTTCTCAACTGGGCTACCCAAAGTTAATTTTTCGATTTTTTATATTTCATTGACCGATTTTGAAAGTTAACATGGTATGCATTATTTGGCACTAAAGATTTTGCGATAATTTTATTCTTTTGACGAGTTATTTGCAACAAATTTTTAAGCAGGCTTTTACACTTTTTGAAATATTTCAGCAACCATTTATTCGAATCTTAAGATTTTTTGACAGCAGCTAGGAGAACTAATTGGACAACAGAAATAAAGTGGTCAGTTTGTAAAATTTCGGTTCTTGTTTTATAAAAAAATCATATTTTTTAATACATTGAATTTTTTTACCAACATCTCATAGTATACCTATGAAAAGAATTCAAAAAGCATTATTTGCGCTGAACATTCAATTTTACTTTCACAAAAAAAAATAACTGTACATTTGAGTGACTTAAAGCTTTTTACCAAAAAAAAATTTACGAAGTTTAAAAAATATAATACAAATGAACTGAAAAGCTAAAAAAAATTATTTGATAATTCTTGATTTGATACTTAAGTTTGAAAATTTTATTTTTTGCTTTTTAGTTCATTTTTGTTATATTTTTTTAAACTTGAATAAAATCATACCTAAATAATTCTTCGGATATAAATTTTGACTTCTACGAAGCAAAATATATCAGCTCTAGTTTTTCAAATATTGGAGATTAAATTGTATATATACATAGATTTGAAGAAAACAAAACGGCATTGCTTTGCTCAGAAAAAAAATATATATAAAAAAAGTTTGTATATTTTTATTAAAAAAAATCTCATGGAATCACCCACCGCTAATAAAAAAGCATTGAAGAAATTTGTACCAGCTCTATCATCACGCCAAAACAAACGCGAGTATTCGATTAGAATTCCAAAAACGATTAAGAATGCTTCAATTCGCATCCTTTCGAACAAGCATAAACGCTTAAGTATCTCATCATCCACTTACAATCAAATTGACTCACGTGAACAGACAATTACACCATTAATACGCCCATTATAGGTTGTACATAATATTAAAAGTTCTAATTCGCTACAATCGTCATGGGAACATCTAAACGCAACTTGATATTAAAAAAATATATCTCAAACGAACAGATACATTTATGTATGTGCATATGTACACATATATATGTTAGAAAAAAGTAACCCCGCATTGCAGCTGCCAATGATAGTTGCAAAAATGCGCTAATCCGTAAGTAATTACAAAATCAGATAACAATTTTCTAGCTGCAGTAGCAAGCGAATATGTACATATGTATGTAGCTAGTGCATACAAATATACTACACATACATACATATACTAGACAATAAAATCGCAATTTGTTGTCTATTTATGTATTTACCTGTACACGTGCTTCACTCAAATCCAAACGCATCGCCAAATCTTCCCTTGTGAAAACGTCAGGGTATTGAGTCTTCTCGAAGGCGCGCTCCAATTGATGCAATTGAAATGTTGTAAATGTTGTGCGTGATCTGTAACGAATTGTGAATAAATAAAAGAAATCAAAGTTTTTGTTTTCAATTGTTCAAAATCAAATAAATAAACTTATTGAGTAAGCGAATTATGCGCAATGAATGAAAGAAGCCGCTTCCGCGATTTGCGCAGAAGTTACATTTAATGCCATTTCTTTTATTTTTTTTACATATTTTTGCTAGGCGGATTTAAATTTGGGGATAACAAATTGGCAGAAATAAACATTTTGCTTTACAGTGACGATGACTGATTTTATAGAAAGAGGGTAACATAACCTCCACTTAGTACATTTTTGGGGAATCCTACTTACGGTCCGGTTCGTACCGATCACAAGGAAGAAACCACGATTTGCTTAGAAAGGAATTTGCCATCGGAAAGATATTGTTGTGCAAATATAAAATACACTACATAAAAATTATTTTTAACCAAATAACCTGATAACCAGGCAAGCGTGAACAACCACATTGTTAATCGTTTATCATTTCCCTGCTGGAAAGCATAACTTTACTTTGGAAATGTCATTGGCTTTAAGATGTTTACGACTACAATAAATCATGGAAAGCTAGAAGAGTATTTTTTGGAAAAACCAACAATGAAACTAAGTACGTATGTATAAGTTTGACACATAAGTGCTTTATGGAAGTTGATTATCTAATTTCCAAAGTGAAAGTACAAAATATGTCGAATGTTCTGCAAGCCCGATTGGTCCGACTGCTCACAACTGGATGTGAGAACGATATCGGCAAGTCGTCGTCATTGGTCACAAAAGCAATTGGGGTTGTTTATTCGCAACTCAAATGAATTTCAGCATCATTTCATAACGGTCGACGAAGCATAGATCCACCACAAAATACCGTAAAGCAGCAATTGAGGAAGTCGGTACCACATGGATATGTTGACAGTTTTCTTATTGCCTTGACAAAAGGAGAAGTAATTAGCCGCAAATATTACTACATCAACTTTTCCTCGCTAAAATAAAAGCCTATTTTGAGAGCCTCGACATATAACTAAAACCCGGAACAAAGTATAGATATTCAAATCAAAGGAAATACATATTTGGAGCCGAAAAACAATCCCTCGTTCAAAGCATCACGTACTTATGACTCCCCTAACCAAAAAGCTTCATCAAAATAAGATATTTGAAAGTAACTATAAAGCTGCGTATCTTGGGGCTCCGGAAGAAAAGATCATTCGGGCATAAATCCATACTATACGCATCACGGCCTGAAATTAAATCGCTGCCTATCGAAGGCCTGGATTCATCAAAAACCATGCACGAAATTCCCCAGCCGCAGTAGCAGGCCTCAAGGAAGGGTTAAGTTCTTGGGGGGCTAGACTGTATTTACGGATGGATCAAATATGGAATTTGGGGTTGATGCAGAGGTTCTCATTGATTAATATAACCTAAAGCTATATTTTCACCTACTAAAATATCTTCTTAAATAGCCATGTGGCTATAATTTTCTCTGTTAGATCTTAACTAGTGGATGACTTTGGAAGAGAGCTGGGCTTTATTCCTGATCAATATGAAATTACCCTAATATGGTCCCCGGGCAAAGGGACATTTACGGAAAGGAAACAGCGGAAGAGCTAGTGATGTACCGCTTACCCACTGAGTGTGCCTCACGCGGTAGACATGGGTGCCTCACTTAGGGAGAACGAGGGCAGAATTACCGAAATTTATTCTTCGAAGGCTAGACAGAGATGGAACGCTATAAGATCGTATAGGATTACTCGGAAATTCTGGGTGTCCTACGAACCACTTAAAATCAGCGCTCTTTTAGGAATGAGCAAAGAAAATAACCACAATCTCACGGCAGCCTGAACGCGGCACTGGCCCTTTGGTGTACATGCCAAAAGACTTGACTTGCCATTCAATAGGTTGTGCCGCAGCTGCGAAAATGCTCAGCCCCCGCAAGGATGACTCAGCAAACCATTCCTGCAGAATATTTCAGAGTGTAGCCAACTCTCTCTGTATGGCGTACTGAAATTCATCAATGCCGCCAAATTTCTGTAGGTTGCACGAGTTGTGGAATCAAAATGGCAAAACTTGCCAATAACTAACTGCCATCCCTAAATTGGCGCGTCAAGCGCCAAGCAACTGTCAAAAATCCTCATGCCCATACAATTTGTATGAAGCATCCCACAATAACGCGGCGCTAACGCCGAGCAAATGGAATTTTCATTTTTGACAGGGCGTTACGTGCTGAAGTTGGATGCAGAAGACGAAGAGAAAGAGAACGGACAAAGAAGTGAAAAAGGAAACGAGAATAAAAACGAGAGGACATGAGAAAACGTCAAAATTGACGACGCGTTGATTTGGGTATAGCGCGCGATGACACTCGTTGACAATGGATAACGCAACGCTTAGCGCTCCAATTTAGGGACGGCAGTTAGATGTACGGTACACTACCATCAAAGCAGACTGAAACACACAACCCAGATTGTGAAAGAATTAGAGATGATAGGTGGGGTCCTTCTTCTTCTTCCAGATGAATATTGATATCAAAAAAAAAAAGGAGAAGGGAAGGAAAGTCGCGTATCTGGTCAAGAAGAGCTTTCAAAATTGTTTGGCCGGGTGATAGCTCATCATTTCTGGAATTCTCTTCCGTTGCCAACCAAGCGTTTGTGCAAGCGGAAGGCAAGAGTCGCACGGTAAAGAAAATAATGGTCTCAGTATCGGAATCGGATATGCAAGGTCGTTCTAACTGCCAGCATGCTGGACCTCAAACGTCGGATGAAACCCAATTGTTTGTCTCGACGACTTAAGAAAGAGTGACTGCAGAGGCTATTCTGGTTGAGATATATTCAGACAAAGGTAAATTTTCGTTGCCCAAGGTGCAGTTACATATAGAAGGCTATTGATAATGGTATCATGAAGATAAAATGGGACAAATACAATTAGCTTTTTCGGGTGTGGCAGACTAAATCAATAGATTTCGAGTGTAGCTGACTAAAACGATAGCGGATGGAAGCAGTGGCAGAAACGAAACGAGTTTCTACGAAGTATCATTATCCAGAGCGAATGACTGAATACAAGCAAATGGGGTATTTATTCATTTATCAGAGGTGGACCGACTTCAAACAGTGTAATAGACCCTTTTCTGGGGGTTGGCATTAACGCAGGCTCGTTAGAAGTCCATCGAAGTATGTTGAATCGGGTACCACTGAAGCCAGGATAAGCGGAAAACTTACAGCATTTTTAAAGCTTTCAACATCTTGAAGACCTCAAGTCCCAAAGAAAGTATTCGATTCGTCTTATCTTCTTATGTGCCGCTGCTAAAGTCAAACGGCGTAGAGTTCAAAACAAAAACTTACCATTTCAGAGATCACATAGCGAGATCTTGTTTTAAAGTTTTAAGAGTCAAGCAGCTTTTGCTGTGGATGAGGATTGCATACTGGTACCAAATGAATAAAATGTTAAAGAAGGAAATGAGAATAAAGAAAAAATAAATTAATAACCTACAGAGGCATTACCTGATCCTGGTTTCTACCCATTATTGCTTTACAAAAGGTTCTGAAACACGAATAAATTATGAGGTGGCAGAAAACGCGATTTGAACAAAAGCTAGGAAGAGGAGGGATGTTAATCTATGTAAAGAAAAGACTACAGGATGCGGCAGAAACATATGTACATCTACATACGTATGTTTTTAAAACTGGGTACAATCTTACTGTGTCTGAAAACCCGATCGAACTAAAGGTCATGAAGCGCTAACGATAACAATAAAAAATTCTAGGCTTTGGAGTATAATCTTACCTTCGAACTTTTCGCGGTCTTTCCATATCACCCAAATCATGTCCGTTATTCAAGCTATTCGAAAAATCATCATCATTGTCAACATCGAGGCCATTGTCCATATTAGTGGGCGATTCGTCGCGTTGAGCCAATTGATGATTATGATGCAATGAGCTCATATTAATGTTGTTATTGTTGTTGTTGTTGTTACTACCATTGCTGCCATTACTAGAGTTATTACTCAGATTGTGGTGGCTATTTAAATTGTTATTGTTGTTATGCAGAGCATGCAGCTGATGGTTGTTTAACGAATCTGTGGAATCTGAAATAGAAAATGAGGCAGAGAATTGTTAGCCAAACAAACTAGTAATAGCAAATCGGATAATAGATTTAAGTTTCTTGAAGGCTAGCTTGCTAAACTCGAATGATTCTGACAGAATTTTAAGTGCATTTTAAGAAAGATATTTGGGTTACATACCTACATACATAAATTTATGCAAGTAGGCATACATGCATCACCTCACCAACCCACTTTTCCGCCCATTTTCAAGCTCAACATACTCGTATACGAGTATAAACAAACAATTTGCAACCCGACTTCTCAACGCCACTAAACAATTGAAAATTTCTTGTTCAAATACTTAACGAAATAATTTCCAAACAAAAGCAACAACAAACCAGTTGAATGACTTTGCTATTCACCTCCTTGCTCGCATTCGCATTCAGAATTTGTGTGCTTTTTTATTTTATTCATTCTTTTTTGCCAATTGTGTACTGCTTACGCTGCTTGCTGCCACTTTAATTCCCTCTGCTTCTATTACTATACACTCGTATATCTTTGTATTCTGCTTGATCCTGCGAATTGCGTAGCGTACGAGTATTTGCTGCTCTTCGGCTGCTGTTCGGTGTTCAGTGCAAAATACAAAATCAATAAATCAAAAGAATTTTTTCGGCAAACACACACAATTGCCAAGTGTGTAAACAATGGGTTAAAATATTGCAAAATCAATTCACTAAAACAAAAAAAAAAAACTTTATTCGATGCCTTGTTGCCTCAATTCAATTGAGTTTCAATTCGGCGGCATTTCAATTGAATTAATTTCAAAGAAAAGTCCATTGAAGTGTTTAAGCGTTTTAGCTAAATGCATGCATACAAACATATGTGTGTGTGTGTAATAGAGATGCAAGATCGAAATAAAAAAAAAATCGATTTTTTAATCGAATCGAATCGAAATAGAAATAATCGATCCAGGAAGAAATCGTCAAAAAATAAATCGATTCTCCAAGATCGATTGATATATTTTACTTAATTTTTATACAGAGCAATCTGACCAATACTGAAACTACAAACATGTGTTTCAATATCTACATTTATCCAAAAGTTATCAGGTAGCTAACAATCCGTAAATGACTATAAAAAAAAACTGTATGATAAGGTTTTTCTGTATTAAGCCAACGATATGAGTATTCGTAGACGCACTTAATTTTTTTGAAATTTTGTTTTTTTAACACAAAAAAATTAAATTTTTCTTCAAAATTAAGTGGTATTTTAAAAAAGTGTATTATACATACACTAGCCTAATAAAGCTTATGTAAACAGATTTAATTTTTTTTGTTTTAAATTGCTTTGTTTTTTCTATCTCTTAGTCTCACCCCTTAATTACCCTTGTTAGAAAAACATTCACGAATTTAGTTTTATAGGCCATCGAATTACCCACAACTTTACATAGAGTTTCCCTGATGAGCCCTGCAGTCGAAGAAGAAAGAGAAGCAGGTCATTGAGTTCTTTGTGCTTTGCTTTCTCAAGTTGGAAAGGTGGGAGTTTCCAGACCTACATTTTTTGTACTAGCCTCAAATTCAATTTTCTTAAAAATTTTGTAGATTTTCTAGGGCAAACCGTACATAAATAAATATGCATCAATTGATGAAAAATCGAATGTCGATACTCGATTATTTTTATCAATTCACGCATCGAATCGGAACTAATAAATCGACAAATAATCGAATCGAAAGGGCTCGATTAATAGATCTTCGATTTAATCGATTTAAAAACGGCATCCCTAGCGTGTAAGCATCTACATAGAAAAGCGTTTGTTTGTGTGCGTGTAAAGAGAATATAGAATTTATATTTGTATGTATACTTATGAGCTTTGAGCAGCAATTTCCTGCGCTGCAAATGCCGCCAATTTTAAAATTCACCCAAGTGCAAATTAAACTTTGTCCCAAGCCCTAAGGAGTTTACTTTGCGTTCGTCCTTTAGACTTACATATATGGTTTCGTAAATTTGTGTGATACGTGGTTCTGACACCCCGACGTAATTAGAAGATTTTCCTTTACTGACTGAGACTTTAGGTGCTCATACTGCACAGTATCGCCTTTTGGTATGTGAAAAAAATTTCACAGAATACTCCTGAGAGCTTAACCAAAGTTTTCGGTTGTCTTAATTTCTGCAGCTGCACGGTGAACTAACAGAAATAAATAGTAAGCAACGGAGCTGTAAGATGGCTGGCAAATGAGTTCTTCCCTTGACCTGCGTGCAGTTGCTATCTTTTCTGCTGTTAGGGAGCGATAAAACCATCTGGATGTTAGAGATCCACATCAAGGATAATCTAGGACATGCACTAAATGAGTTCATTGAAAGCCGGTCGCCACATATCTAGTTAAGGTATGGGTGTCCGGCAACAAAAAATTAGTAGGACATGGTGTATGAACTGGCAAGAAAAGGAGCCTCCTTACCTGCGATGAGTGTCGCGGATATTCCGCTATCATCTTGCAAACTTTTTCTGAGAAATAACTTAATCGAACCTATATGTAAATAGAATATGGTCTGTAAAGCCTACATGTAGGATAGCACAACTGCTCGGCGTTAAACGAGCGACGAGGCAACAGACTAGGACTAGAGTGGAATGGTTTCTGTCGTAGCTGCGGCGATGTAGAGGAATTCGAGAGTAGAGAACATTACCTTCATATGACACTGCCTCCCATTGGCGATTTTCCACTAACATTCGTTTCAACGTCTCTTTCTGAGTTCAGCAATGTTGTGACCTTCTTCAGAACAATAACCCGGCCGAAATTTCTCTAGAAAAGGCCCTAATACCATCTAGAGCATGGCTAGGTTTCCGTAACAGAGATTTTCTCGACTGTGCCAAAATAGGCGCTGGCATGGAAATCCCTTCTACAGATAATCTTCTTAGAGCCTAGACTGGCTGCATAATAATAGTTTCCCTTTGAGATAATCACTTTTAGTGCTGGGAATAATTCCTTAACTGAGGTACTTTTTAGCAGTGCCTGGACTGAAATCCTACCTGGAGTAATCAATCCTGTTGCTGGCAATTTTTTATTTTTTTTTGACAAGGGCAATTGACAGTCTTACAACTCCGAAGCTAACCTTTCTGCACCAGAGGTTAGACGAGCTAAAGCATA